CAGGATGTTGGGTGATAAAGAAGAAAATGCCACCCAGGCAGAATGTACATTCACACGTGCTATTACCACTAGCACAGTGCCAAGTTCCCTGAACACCCAAAAGAGCAGGGAAATGACACCACCTTCTGGACAAATCCTATTAAGTCATGCATACAATTTGCTTCACATAACGGACAGGAACATGCCATGGAAGCTGTTAGCTACTTCCAAAGTCCAGCTTCATATTTTACCTCCACAAATTTTGGAATTTTCCTTTTCTGTAGATGACTTTCATACAGAGTGATTCTACTTTAGAGGATTATGCAGGAAGAAATAAGAAAGCTGTGAGAGTGCAAGGCAAAAGAAAAGGCAAGAATATGAGGCAAAAAGATAGCCTTTTTGGAAAGCTTTTTTAGCATTTGAACATATTCAAAGTTTTTCCAAATTATGTTTTAAGAAAGTAACAGATATAAAGACGCAAAAAAATGTATTTAAATTTAATTTCAAAAAAGCGGTTTTCTCACCTCAAGAGTGGAGATTCTTGTAGGAAAGATTTTGTATGGGTGCACGAGATGTGTCTTTAGGTTCCTCTTTGCCTATCCAGTCAACTCTGCCTTCTCCAGAAAGCATCAGGAGAAGCAGCTAGACTATTAGAAGCTGCAGATCACTTGTCTTAATTTTTATTTCTCTTCATTTTATTCTCAGCAAAGGCAGAATATGAGGTGACCACTGTCCAAAGACAGTGTCCCCAAAGCACTCCCATCTTCAGCACAGCAAGGGCTGCTGACCCTTTTCCTCTCTTCGCCAAAGTGGTGCAGCACGTGCCGCACTTGCTCTCAGCCTGACAGTAATGATGCATGTCAGCATCTCCCTCCTTGCTCTTTTTTTTTTTTTTAAAAAAAAAAACAGAAACTCCTAAATAAAAAGTATCGAGTCTGTGTCATTGACACTTAAGAACACAAAGACTTTAAAGGATCAATATGCTTATATTATCTGGGATAATATTATCACCATAAGTAAAAACATTCCCTGTAAATGTCATTTTAAAAAGAGGTGCAGTCACCTTCACGACGCTTTTTGGAAAAAGTGCATCATTTTACATTTTACTCCCAACAGTAAATTTTGTTCCAGATGACAGGAAGAATAATTTCACTATACTCAAAAAATCAACCGTTTGAAAAGTCTTAGTCAATTTTCTTGCTTCATAGTAATAAGTACACATTCTCTAGTGTAAAAGTTAACTTTTAAGAAACAAAGATTTTTTTCCAGAGCAGTGTTTTTAGAGCTTTTGGTGTGAAAGAAATTTTATAAGTTCCTACAGAAAGATGAGGGAATAAGGATATTTCTGAGGTGATTTCAAGGAGAAAGTGGAAAAGGAAAAGAAAGCAGGAAATCCATAGTTTTAATGTATTCTACAAGATTAAGGGATTGGTTCCAAAGAAAATTTTACCACCAAATATGGTTTTTACATTTAACTGTACATTGTTATAAAAATATGCAAGTCATAAAATATTCGGCCTATGGATTAGCTGAAGGCAACATTTTTATTAATGCAATGAAGAAAAATATTATCCTTATGTTCTGTGCCACAAGAATTTCCTATCTTGCAGAGTAACTTTTTTAAACTCACAATTTTTTTTAAAAAAAAAGTGTATTTCAAACTGTGAGGTTAACACAATCAAAAAGAAAAGTCAGCACAGAATAAATACCCAACAGCTGTCAAGCCAAGTGTATTAAAAATCTCAATAAGCAATTGTTAGTGATAACGACCTAAGGGGCCAATTACATTTCATTCTTTTCTTTAAAATATTCCCTTCCTTTGTATTATCTCTTGTCAGAGAGATACACAAAACAAAATGAAATAAATCATTAGCATTGCTGAGAAAAGTGCTCAAATCCTATTGCATTCAACTATTATCTCTGTCATTATACATGGACAGATGTTCACATTCACATTTGTGCTCTCTGATGTCCATATATCACTAACTATCTAATCAGTACTTTCAAGTACTGATCAATTAGTATGATAATTATCAATATCTTCTGTCTCAGAGCCATAGCACCAAAGCACCATGAAAAAAAATAAAAAGTGAAATTCTCTGGGCTTTGTTTTCTTGTTAGGAGGTTGATAGTGAGCAAGAGTTGGCTCAATGTTACTGAATGATGTCTCCAATGACAAATTCTGCAACAGATAAAGAAAGAACAAAAGACAAGTTCGAGTCGTGCTTGCATAGTTAAGGAAAACAACCACGGGAAAAACAAAGTTTACATCTTTCCTGATTTCTGTTCGCGTCAACCTAGACTGAGGTTCACTTGGTGGGAGCTGCAGTGACCTGGTGCCACTCAGTACATTACGAACACGGCAGGAGGCCCCGCTTTGGGAAGGAGAAGCAGCTTAGCCCACAACACACACATATCCTAGACACTTTCCAAGGGGTCTCCAAGCAGCCCTCAGGCCTGAAGAGCACAGCAAGAAGGGCAGTTGCAGCCATGTCCCAAGGCCACTCTCTGGAGTCCATGGCATTTTATGGGCTTACAGGGCAAATTAATTTGGTTTAGAGTATGACATTGGTGTGATGACAATCACCGATTTCTTACTTTAATGTTTATGTATGCCACTAAAGCTATACTGCATGGAAACTTGAAATATGTCTAATCCAGAATCACTTATTGCAATGGGTTCTGGTGCAGGGATTTAGTAGTCTGGCAACATACTATCTTTTGGTACAGGGTTCTTCACTGTATTTTTCTCATCTCAACATACTGAGTTTTAAAAATAAGTTCACAAAAAAGCTTTTTTTGCTTTATCCAGAGACAGGGAAGACTGCTGTAATAAACTTAGGTGGAGTGGCAGGTTAGCACGCAGGATTGTAAATTGTATAGATGTAATTGGTATGTATTAGTCACAATAAAGCAACCTGTTGAATGTCGGGTATGGTGATACCCTAAATACCTGCTGCTTTGCGGGTCACCTGTGGTCCCTACTTCCCATCACTGCCTGATGCGACAGCAGAGGGTGTTGCAGGTCAGGTTTAAGGTGCACTGGGGACAACTATATAGCAACTCTTATACAACACTCAAGGTTTTATGCTTTATTTTCCATTCTGGCTGATTTTGCTAGTCTTTTATAAGCAGTACTACCAACCACAATCACACCCACACAGAAAAAGACTGGAAGAAAAAGTGCGACTGAACAAAAACGTAGAGAGGACAGAGTTAACACAAGGAAACTGCTTTCTCTCTATTATTCCTTGACAGTAAGCGACTGGAGGAAAAAAAAAAAAAAGTTTAATCCACATAGGGAATACAGAATAAAAGAATTTTAGACAAGCAGGTCTTACCCCAAGAAATCACTGTGGAATCACAAATAAGGGATCAAATCTCCCACAGGTATTAGAATATACATACAGAAGAGAGAAAAATTATTCAGCACTTAAGGATCCTGGAACATAATTTATTTCACATCTGACAATTTCAAGGTAACCCTGATGAAAATCAAGACCCTATTGTGCTATTTGCTAGCTATGTACACTGCGAGAGAAAGGAGAATCTATGATGCAAAGAAAAAAAGAAAAAATCACATGGATTCCCACAGAGAAATCTGCTGATTGGAAAGAGAGCATCTTTTTATTGATTCCCTGCCTCCTGGGATGATATTCATATGGAAAAATCCTAGAGACTGAATCATGCAAACCTTCGAAAAGATTCCCATATGCTACAAAAACAGGCCTTTTTATGCTTTTAAGTTATGAAGAAAAGAGAAGTAACTGATCCAAAAACTGGGCGCTGCTCTTGTA